GCATAACCACGTTAGGTCAGGTAATCTGGCAGGGTCCGTGCTCTGCTTTCTAGCCATACTTTGCCCCTGCCCCCTAGTGGTCCCCGAGGTTAGAGTATGGTTAGCCTCGTTTGTCTCTTCGTGTCCGTCTATAATGCTATGAGTATCTAGTAACGTCACCTGGAGATTGTGAATACTCTGGTGCGTGCATACAGTTATTTCTATTCGTCCCTGTATAGAGGCTGAATTTGGTCTATTGTGGCCCCTGTCTCAGTCTTGGGGTGTGGGTCCGTATAGTCTAGCATCAGGCCGAAGTCACCCTCAGCTGTTGGTATATGACCGACACTCTGCCTTCCGCCTCAGGGTTAGTCATGCAGAGTTGTTCAAACCATGACATTTCCCTGTGTACCGCTTCCCTATTGGGTATGTTGCTGTAAAAGTGCCTCAGCTGTGCGTAATGGAATTGGTGCATCATCGTTAGGTGTTCTGCGGTGGCCCAATCTTGTAGGCTGCGCAAACCTGCATTGGTCAGGGCTGAGTTCAGTGGGATGTAGTCAGTTTCATCGTTTACTGGCCAGGCGGTTGGTTGGAGCCCTCCTCCCAAGGCCTCATTGTGTGTCAGGGGGATCAGGGGGCTTGGCTGTGGGGATATGTGTGGGTTTCTTCTCAGGGTGGCCCATGTTTTCAGTGTCTGCGTGACTGTGGATTCTTTACTGTGTGTGTGACTGCTGCCAAACCGTGCCAGACATATGTGTGGAGGGCCTTGTTTGTGCCTTCTATGTCTAGACTGACCCATAGTTGGTTTGTTGGGGCCGTGTGCCATTCTCTTATTCGCTGGAGCACCGTTGCCTGGAAGTACTTGCAAAAATCTGGCAGTGCCAAGCCGCTCCATGGTTTGGGTAGGCACAGCTTGTCATGGCTGAGCCGTGCGCTCGCCCCCTTCCAGATGTATTTCGTTACCGCGGTTTTGAGCGTGGTGAAGAATTCCGGGGGTAGGTGCCAGGGAATAGTGCTGAAGCAGTAGAGAAGTCAGGGTAGAATGTTCATTTTGACCACCGCAATGCGCCCCTGCCACGAAATATGGTCATAGGCCCACGTCTTCAGGTCTGTCAATATGGTGCGGAGGAGAGGTGTGTAGTTCCTGGTGTATATTTCGCTCGGAATGCAAGGAATCCATATTCCCAGGTAGCACATCTGTTCCGTGCACCAGTGGAAGGGGTATCTGCCCTGGAGTTGCTCTTGTGTGTTCCTTGTGGTGTGTACCGCCAGTATTTCACAGTTTGCTTGATTCATTTTAAGTCCCGATACCTGCCCGTATTTTGCGAACTCGTCCAGTTCACGGACCCTGCCAGATTACCTGACCTAACATGTAATCCAGACGAGCATGCCATGCCCCAGGCCCATCACGGTCAGCGTTGCCAACATGAAGCTCCACGTCACTCGGTCGAACGCTTTCTCAGCGTCCGTGGAAAGCATAAGTAGATCGGAGTTCCCTTTAATTGCCAGGTCCTGTATAGCGAACGCCTGCAGGGTACAGTCCCTAGCTTCCCGACCCAGTATAAAACCAGTTTGATCCGGGTGGACTAGCCATGGTATGAAAACGGGAGGCTAACAATTTAGAGGAGTTTCGCATCCATGTTCAATAGAGATATGGGGCGATAGTTGATGCAGTTTTCCGGGTTTTTACCAGGTTTGGGGATCACTGTAATTGTGGCCGCTAGGGTTTCCCGGTGAAACCTTCCTCCTTGCCGCAGATGATTTAAGGTTTCGGCTAGCCGTGGGGCTAGGATTTCTCTGAACATTTTATAGTATCCTGCCGAAAGTCCGTCGGGGCCAGGTGCCTTCCCGTTCTTTGTTGTTTTAATCGCCGCCTATATCTCATCCGCCATTATTTGGGCATCTAGGATTTCTGCTTCCTGAGGCGTGAGCACATCCAGCTTGAAGTCTCTGAGATAGCTTGCTGTGTTACCTGTTCCCCTGTCCTTGCCCATATCTGGTGTTTCAGGTTTTATGTTGTACAGACGTTCATGCGGGCCAACAATCTCCCCCCCTTATTGGCATGTATGTAGAAGAAGGCCTTTGATCTCTGGGTTGCCCTGTAGTGTTTGTGGGCTATTAGTTCCGTCAGTTGACGCCTAGCTGTCAGAAGGGTTCAGTAGTGGGTTTCCATTCGTGTTCTTTTGTGGAGCGTTTCTAATGTCACTATTTGTTCTGTGAGTGCCGTCATTTGTAGCTGCGCTTCCTTTTTTTTCCGTGATGCTATCCTTATGAGGTGCCCCCTGAGTACGCTCTTGTGTGCTTCCCATAGTGTCACTTTGTGTCTTCCGTGTCATTTTCGTTAAAGTAATTATTCAGGTGTTCCACAAGTTGTGTCTGTATTGCTACATCTGAGAGGAGCGATTAATTTAATCGCCAGGTAGTCCGGGTGGGTCTGAACAGGGGTGATTCTAGGAGTATGGAGACTGCGCTGTGGTCTGACCATGGTGTTGGGCAGATCGTAGCCTCTCGCAGTCTTTGTAGACCTTCCTGCTGGATGAAAAGGCAGTCAATGCGTGAATGTCTATGGTGCATAGCCGAGTAGTGCGTGTGTAAAGTTCTCCATGCATCCACCAGTCGCAGGTTCCGCAGGGTTCTCTGGATCGTCCTAATTGCTGCTTGTGGGATGCTGCTATGTCCTGTCGACAAGTCCAAGATTGGGTCTAGAGGCGCATTGAAGTCTCCGCCGACTATAAGGGCTCCTTCCGTGAAGTTGGCGAGTTTTATGATTGTATTGCGGAGGAATTTCGCCTGTTTGGTGTTTGGGGCATAGATTGAGGTGAATTTGTATGTCTTCTGTGCTACCGTGCCCTTTACAAAAAGGTATCTGCCATTCTGGTCTGCGAGTACTTCACTTTGAGTGAATTGGAGGTTGTTGGCTAGGAGGATCCCCACCCCTGCTTTGCGCGCCGTCGGGTGAGTGCTGTGGAGGTTGTTTTGGAAGTGTCTATCTTTCAATCGGTGTGTTTCCTGTAGCATTGCTATAGATATATGGTTGCTTTTCAGTTCCCGCAGGAGATGCGTGCGTTTCTCTGGTTTGTTCAGGCCTCTACAGTTCTGCGTTATAACGCGGAAGGGCGCTGTTGTGTACGCCATGTCGTTGGTTTGTGTTGGTATGTGTGGTCAGGGGACGTTCTGCGCTGCGTGTAGCTGTCTACTGTGCGCCCACGTGCACCTCTGGGTATAGTGGTGGGAAGGGGGTAGAGAGAGTTAGGGGTATGGGAAGGAGGTGCGGGGGTGGATATACGTGGGGGGGTGTAAAGACAGAAGAGCCTTTGAGCGGTGTTAATGTGTTTTATATATGTAGCTGCTATGTGTGTAATGTCTGTATTGTAGTGTGGGCCACTGGTGGTTTTTATCCAGGCTGAGTGTGTGTATGATCAGGGTCCCGGGTCCCCAATTCCGGAGCCAGGCGGGTCCGGGAGCCCGCCAGAGGTCTGGTCACCCAGCGAGTGTTCTTATTAGGGTTGTGAGTTCCTCATTATGAAGGTTACCTGTGTAACTGGGGTTGAGTGTCAGGTCCGCACCGTCTCCCAGTGTGAACTAGGGCAGCTGCGGATCTGTCTCCCCTAGTGGTCTGGTGAGACACAGGTCTAGTCTGGGGGTTGGGCCAATAGTTTGGCGAATCGATTGCCTGTTGGATCACAGGTGAATGGAGTTGAGTTTATTCAGATCAAGGTGTGTCAGCTCAGGATTTGATTCCATCCCCCACTTATGTCAAAGCTAGTTATGGTAGCTAAACCTGTTCTAGTTGCCTTCTGTAAGGTCGCGTCCGGATGGTAGTGGGTCGCGGTTGGGTGTTTTGTTCTGTAGTGTGCGTGAGGCCGGTTCATCTAGTTGTGTAGACAGTGTGCCTTCCTCTGGTGCGGAAGTACGTGAGGGGTTGTTCGTGGGGGTTTGCGAGCTGTTTCTAACTAGGGGGGTCATTAAGGTTATGTTGGGTCTCTTGTTAGTGTTATTGGCCATTGGGGTGCGTCCCTGCAGCTTAGCCCCTGCAGTACAAGCTTTGCCATACAGTTACATGCTGTATGTGCGTCGTATGTGAGTTCTGCGAGGGTGGAGGGAGCATTACATGGTGCATAAAAAACAGTGCAATATTATCAAGCCCTGTATTCCCCTGTCCCTGGCCATTGCTTCCTGTCATCCTGACTGACTACTATCCCATCCCTTATCTTTGCATTGTAGTAGAGGCAGCAGTTCCTGTATTCCCCTCCTCCTCTCCTCTATCTGAACCCCTCATTGTTCTGTGAATTCCTCTTGCTCCTCGTCTTTTCCTGATCTCCCCTCCTTGTGTGGTCTTAGGCCACTGTAACACAACCAAACCGGATAAACATATATACACATTTTCAAAGCTCGTTTTTCTTTTAGCCCGCTGTTCCAAAGGATCCAGTTGGTGATTTCCGTGGGCGGTAAACCCAATCGTTGCAGGAATCCAGGTACTTCCTCCGGCCAACGCAATGGTATCTATTCATTTTGATACCTGGCTAGGAGAGCAAAGGGAAAGCCCCATTTATAGGGTATGCCTCTCTCCCAGAGCTGGCATGTAATCGGCCTCAGCGCCCTGCACACTTCCAGCATCAGAGGTGAGAGGTCCTGATACAGGGCCACTTTTGCGTCCTGGAATCTCCACGTTGGTCTGGAGCGAGCTTTGGATATAATCTTTTCTTTTAGTTTGTATTGGTGCAAACAGCATATAATGTCCCTGGGCGTTCCTTCCGTTGTGCGCATTCTGTTGGCTCTGTGTGCTCTGTCAAATTCTATTGAGGCTGGAGCTTCGGCCCCCAGGATTCCCTGGAAGAGAGTTCGCAATGTAGCCTCCACGTCCTCCTCTTCTGCTGGTTCCGGTAGGCAGCACACTCTGATGTTGGATCTGCTGCCTCTGTTGTCCAGATCTTCGGTATGCCGTCTCAGTGCTAGTAACATATTCCCCTGCCTGGTTATGCCAGAGTTGAGGCCTCAGCTTGTGCTTTGTTAGCTTTGTTAGCCTATGTGGCAGTTTCCAGGAGCTGCAGCCTGTTGTCTTGCGCTGATATGTCCGCTCTGAGCACGGTCGTCTCTGTGCAGATTGCTGCATGCAGGGTGTCAGAGAGGCTGTGGAGGTCATCTTTAGTCACCATATTAGCAGCTAGGGCGCGGATGTCGGCACTGATGTCTGCCAGTGTGGGTTCGCCGTCGTCCAATGTCAGTGAGCGGGTCGGTGAGTTGGCCAGAGTGGCGCCCGCTGCCTCGTGGTGAGTGCTCGTTGCGGGGGTTAGAAACCCATCCATGGGTCCGGCTGAGGTGTTATTAGAACCTAGCTGTAGTTGTAGCTTGCTTTATTTGCTGGTGGTTCGGAGCTCTGTACCTAAGCCGCCATTATCCTCCGCATCCAGGCCACGCCCCCCCCCCCCACCAAATGTGTCTTTCATTAATCTCTGTTTGACTACATCTCCAACACGAAGAAATCTCTCCAGGATACATTTTTACTATTCATACCATCTATTGGACAGTTTATATTTTCACTAGATTTAAGCAGTGTACTGTGGAGTAAACCTCATTTAGAGAGATATACCAATCATTTAAATTGATATAAATTCTAAGATCTTCCCCACAGTTTCCAAGACCCTAGGGCATTACGGCCTTTTGATTTCCTTCAGTACTTCTGTACATCTTGCTAATAATTTGTAACCCTATCCTATCTTTATAATTTCACTGAGTTTCTTAAAGGAGTCTGCATATGGTTCTTTTGGAAGTGTTGCCACAAGAACGCTTCTAACTCTAATATAATTGTATATCTGTTCCTTTGGAAGATTACATAATTGTTGAAATGTTCTAGGTTTGATTCCATCAATTATATGGAGTATATTCGTAATACCATTATTTATTCATACCTTCAGATCTATATTATCTATCAAATACATTAGAAATTGTGTTGGAAAATAGGGAAGTATTTTATTTATCAAGTTCGCTTGTCTTTTAAACGTACGCCAGAAACTCATTAGATTATTAAGAATTATACTATTTTCTCCCTCTATGTATTTTTTATTATTCTTTATGTCCCAGAAAATATTAATCAATTTATATAGAGATTTTAAATAAGCTTCTTCTAATGCATGGCAGAGATTTGTGATTCTCTAAATGAATCTGTATAATATGAGGCCGCTCTCTGATATAAAAAAATATCTGGGAAGCCTCTTCCTCCATGTTTTTTATTTAGGGATAAGAGATTTGAGCTTATTTTAGGCATTATTCTGAGCCATACGAATTTAGAGAAAGCTTTATTGAGCAGTTTTAACCAGGGAGTAGGGACCTCTAGTGGTATCATTCTTTAAAAGTAAATACATTTTGGTCTAATGTATGCTTTTAATATATTAACCCTACCCCACCACGAAATCTCTAATGTTCTCCATAATTTAAACGAATGATAAGTGCCCCTCAATAGTTGCCAGAAATTTGCTTCAATTATCTTATTGGGATGTGCTGTGATGTTAACTCCTAAATATTTATAGCTATTTTTTTTTCCCATCTAAATCAATATTGCCTTTCCAATTCTTTAATGTCATGTAATTTCCATTCTGATCTCTGTTTAATGAATTGTTGTTGCAATTCTAACAGTACAGCGTCATGATCAGACCTCTGTCCTGGTCAGCACTCCTACATCCGTTAAAATCATATTTTATATATATATATATATATATACGTGAATTCGCAACTTAGAAAAACATGTAAAATCTCTCTCTTTAGGGTGTAATGTCCTCCAGGTAGCTAATAAGGACACGCTTAGAATTAGCTGACAAAGTTTACTAGCTTGATTAATAAGATTCCTGTCTGTCTTATTATTTCTTCTTGTTTTTTTATCTAACAAAGGATCCTGCACACAGTTAAAATCCCCAGCAACAATGCCTGATACTATCCAATCTAGATGAAAACTTAGCGATGAAACCCACTGGAGAATGATTTGGTTCATTAATATTTGCTATGGTGTATACAATCCCTTCTATCTCACATATCAAAATGATCCACCTTCCTTCTGTATCTATGTCTTGGAATTTGATTATCGGATTTATATTTTTAGAGAATATTATTGCTACCCCCCTCTTTTTTTTATCATTAAGCGAGGATTGGAACATAAGAGGAAAGTTCTTTGTACGTAAATTAATTTTATCCTTCAGTCTCCAGTGAGTTTCCTTATACATCCTATTGAAACTTTTTCCTTTTTTAACCAATCTAAAGGCATGCTTTTTAAAAAAACAAATTAATGCCTTGGGTATTGATTGAGACAAGCCTAACAATTAACCATCAAAAAATTAATCCAACCACACTTTCATCCATGGTCCCAGAACTGTACATAAAAAAACATAAACCACATATAAAAAAACATAAAACTAATCCCAATCATTAATTGGGAATTTAGGAAGTATCTCCTGGGCTCATATGGGATATACAACCTGAGCAATCTTATTATTTTCAAAGGCACGACATTCTTCATGTTGGAGACAAGTTTGTTGGATTCATAAAAAAAAATAAAAAAAATACCTTTCCCTTTTCCCTTTCTTTTTAACTATTTAGTAATTAAAGGACCACTATAGTGTCAGGAAAAAAAACTTGTTTTTCTGGCACTATTGGGTCTTTAGGTCCCCCCTATCCTCAGGGTCCAGGTCCCACTGGGCTGAAGGGGTTAAAACACTTACCTTTCTCCAGTGCCGGGCTCCCTCAGCGCTGGGGAACTCTCCTCCTCCTGCCGACGTCAGCGCCGCATGCACAGCAAGAGCCGCGCGCGCATTCAAACTGTCCATAGGAAAGCATTTCTCAATGCTTTCCTATGGACGTCCAGCGTCTTCTCACTGTGATTTTCACAGTAAGAAGCGCGGAAGCGCCTCTAGCGGCTGTCAGGGCGACAGCCACTAGAGGCTGGATTAACCCTAGTGTAAACATAGCAGTTTCTCTGAAACTCTGAAACTGCTATGAAACTGCTATGCTTACAGCTGCAGGGTTAACACTAGAGGGACCTGGCACCCAGACCGCTTAATTGAGCTGAAGTGGTCTGGGTGCCTAAAGTGGTCCTTTAGCATTACCTTAGTGTTATTTCAAACCTAAAATAATACTCTTTTTGACCCAATAAAACTTTAGTGACAGTTATTAACATTCAACCAATGCATGTTAACTCTAACTTATCATTCTTATTGTGTATTTCTATACTATGGACTTATTGACCTGAAATGCTATTAAGTTAAACCTATAATTATTACTGTGCAATTAATCTACATTTTTCAGTGGATCCTATTTCAGTTTCCTTTTTTTCTTATATAGTGTAACAATCTCAATCGCTTGACCTTTGTGACCTTCCTTTACGCCCATTAGTGATTTTATTTGATTTTGTTTCTTATATGATTTTTTTCCCCCTGGTTCCTTTCTTTCCCCATCCTTTCCTTTATCATATCCCACTTATATGAGCTATGTACTAATTAATCAGTTTTCTAAACTGAGGAGTTCCCCAAAATCTGTATGTCTAATATCTACATGTACTCCCTTTCTTTCTTTCTTTCTTTCTTTCTTTCATTTTTTCTTTCTTTTTTTTTATGTTCTTTTGCTCCTTTTACTACTTTTCCCTCCTACTTCTTGTTGAACCACGTGGCATGTGACTAAACTTCTAAGTACAAATAAACGTAACCAAAAATCCTCTAAAAAAGGGAAGGATAATAAAGAAAAAAAAAAAGAATAAAAAGCTCCTTTCTCTGTTGTCTTCTTTTGCTGTGTCTCTTTTTTATTGTGTCAACTTCTTCCAGGTTCTTGGATTTAAGCCACTGATATGTTGAGTCTGGATCTGCCATGATGTAAGATGATGCTTCATAGAAAATAATGAGTTTAGTTGGGAAACCCCATTTATAGCGGATATTGTTGTCCCTTAAGATTTTTGTATAGGGCTCAAACAATCTTCTTTTCGCTCTCGTGTAATATGAAAAATCTGAAAATATTTTGATTCTGTTAAAGGGGTCCTCCAGTTGCGCTGTTCTTGATAGTTTTAATACTTGTTCCTTTGTTCTATATGATGTGCAACATATTAATACATCTCTTCGAGAGTGTTCCGGCATTTGACGTGTTCTCATAGTTCTATGACATCTTTTCAGTATCGCTGAGTTGGTGGAGTTCTGAATTCCTAATTTTTGAAGAAATTCTAAAACAAATTCTTTCAGCTTGTCATTAGTGATTTGTTCCGTTATATCTCTAAGCCTTAAGTTGTTGCGTCTGGCTCTATACTCTGCATCCGACATTTTTTTTCCCATTACTTCTATCCTTTTTTTCAGATTCTTTTGATCCTTTTAATCAATATCTTGTTGAAATGATAGCGCTTCAATTTTTTCTTCAGTTAATTTAACTCTGGTGCCTGAAAATAGATTTTTTTTTTTTAATTCCATTATGTTCATCTGGATTTCAGATTTGATCTTCTCTAGTTGAATCTCAAAACAAGTATTTAAATATTCTTGTAATGAGGGTGTTATTTCTTCGGTCATAGTTGTTTTGGAGACTTCTACCGCCAGTTCTTTTGCCATAGGCTCAGTATCATTTTGCGGTTCTGATTCTGCCCTACTAGATTGTGGAGAGAAGAAGGATAGCCGTTTTTTGGTTTTATTATCAGACTTTTTTTTCTTTCTTAATGGCTTGCTTTGTAAGTTTTTTTCCGATGCCATTGTAAATTTTTGAAACAAAAAAGAAAAAAGGAAAAGACGGAAGAAAATATAACTTGACTGTGGGGCAGCCTCAACAAAAAGAGTTGCCTTTGCCTTGTTTCCTGAGTTTATTAAGGATATTGTGATTTAAGGAGTGGCCGATGCTGTTTCTTTAAGAGGGCTTATTCGCTTAGCTATTTTCCCTTTTTATTTTAAGTGTATCTCTATATATGCTGATTTATTTGACCTCTCTTTCACCCAGCAAAAATTTCCAAGCAAAATTTAGAGTCCCTACAGATGCGTACTGTAAGGTATGCTTAGAGATTGCACCAAAGCCAGGCTTAGTTTGGCACTGAATCAAATGACTTTACAGGACACCATATTCTTGGGGGCAAGGTAATAAATTCCTCAAAATAATCAGCAGCCCACCAGCAAATCACTTTTTCTATGTAACAAATTTTTGGCGTCACCAAAGGCCCGTGTTTCCAGTAAGTTTTGAACACTTTTCACCTCCTCCCACAGCGGGTCTCTATGGACCCTATTTCAACTTAATTCGTCTTGTGGCCTGGCTCAACGGCCTAATCCCACACTGCCCCCACTCACAGTCAATAACGGACCGG